GTAGAAAGTACATTCTAGAACTGTAACACAAGGAGAAGGGCATAGAGGGCTCCACGATCCAAAAGAAGCAAGGACTAGAAAAAAAAAGTAAAAATTCTCTTTTCATGCTTCTGTTAAATCACCAACCGTATCTGTTTCTAGCAGAGTGAAGATGAATATACTCAAATGTATTCATATTCAAATATTTAATCTTAAGGGGAGCATGATCTCTTACCATGCTAAAGAAAATGTGTGGTCATATCAATTAGGGGCTGATTGAAGGAGGAGGGGCAGACAGTTTCACTGCTGCTAATGAGGCTTTCCTGCTCATGTGCTCCAGACTAAATCCCTCAAGTTCCAGCGCAAGGCTACCTCTTCCCCCCAAATTTCTTTCATGAATCCCTTGAGACTTTCTCACTGGAAGCTGTTTGTGCAAAGGACAGACCCTCTCTGCGGCTGGTGGGGTAGGTTTTAAGAGGCGTCATTTGCAGCCTGGAGCATGGAACGAACAGGCAGACTTGCTGCATCTTGTCAGCCTTCACCGTCTGTCCATGACTATCGCTGATTGTCCAGCGGTTGAAATTATAGCGGCTTTTAAAAATTGCTGGTGCCAAAATCTCCCTTGACTGTACATCTGTAACTACTAATAATGTTGTTTGGGGCAGACTCGGTTGCTTTGAAATTGCACTGCACTGTTATAAGTAAATGAGAGGCAACCAATTATCTGTGAAGTCAAGACACACACACAGAGGAGAGTGTGATGAATTGGAGACGATCTCGCTGACACAACACAGTGTGGGAACCTGTCCTGCTTTGACGTCTCATCAAAGCTGGGAGGTGATGTTTACATATCTTCCAGCAGAGATCCCCAGTTCCGGCGGGGAGGAGGAGATGACAGCATCATTCTGCCACTGGTACACATATTGCTGAATTAAAATTAGAAAGGCAGCAAACCCAAGTGTTAAATATCTACAGAGAGAATCATCACACTCCAGAAAGGAGGCAAGGTTAAAGAGATGCAGATCCACTGCCACAGGACGAAATCCATCCCGGAAATCAGCTCAGTGTGCAGGGAAGCAATGTATAAATTCATCCAGGCAGAGAGGAGGCACTGAATTCCTGGAACCAAAGGAGTTTAGCCTCATCAGTGAGCTGTCTGACAGGCATTGAGACAGCTATAGCGTCACCCAGCAACCAGTGAACTCCTAACTTCAGTGCTACAGCAAAAGCAGAGGCTGCTTTTCATGCTTGCCCGAGAAATTCTGATCTAGTTGCATTCTGGTTGGACAAAGAGGAAAAGAAGGAGGCTAAATCGCCATCTGCCTTGCAGAGGCATAGGGAGGAGAGGGGAAACTCCTCTAATATTGTTGCCTTGATGGCTGCCAGAGGCTGAGTACACATGTGTGGCTTGGGGGAAATTTTAACGGTGTGGTCCCAACAGCTCTTGTGTGCTGAGAGTGTGTGCATAGAGAAAACAGGGAGTGTGGTTTCTACTTTATAAGACAACTCTACACACAGAGCAGTTCACGGCCAGTAACACTCCTTTGTCTACAGATACAGGGTGTCTCAGCTGTAGGTGTTCACATTCTTCTCTGAAACTCTTTGAAGGCAAACACAGACTCTTAGCAAACAGAAGCCAGCCTCCTAGGCGAAGTAGCAATTCTGCGTAGACCTAATAGCCTGAGATGAAGTAGGGTGTCTTGTATCCATGTACAACAAAGTGACTAAGGGATGAGCTTGATTTTCTTCCATAGTTCTCATCTTTCCCCACTGGGAGGGGTAGGTCTGGAGTCATTTTACTCTTGAATTCTGATCATCCCTATTGATTTCCCAGAGGTGAGAATCATATTAAATGTCTCAGAGATTCTTTTGTTACAATATTTCTAACTAGATCAAGTAGGGGGTCGCAGGGTCTCAATCTAGTGATAGCATTTAAGCCAAGGAACAACTGGCCTTTCTTTCTAGCAGATAGGACGGAGCTCAGTCCTGGTAGTTGTAGGTGAGCAACTACAGAGTGCTGGCTTTTCAGAAGCACCGCATCTCCTTTATATTTATGCTTATACTTCTGATTAGAAGCAGTGTTCTCTTTGACATTGAGGCCAAGACTACCCAGCTTGAGATACATGTACTGCAATGCAAAAAGCAAATCACAGAAACAGTAAGTGAGCAGTTCCCTACAGGGTCCACAAAGAGAAGAGTAATTTATAGGGCAAGGGAGGCAGGAGTGAGCTTAGGTGAACACTGGACCCACCCAAGGTCATACTACTTGGGCAGATGATAGAGAAACCAGGAAGGAGGGCAGCCTAGTAGGAGTCAGCACAGCTGAACAAATCTACAAGTAGAGCAAAGTCAGTTGTGAAACCAACCAGGGCTCGTTTTGGTTCCTACTACCTGGTCCAGGGTGGTAGAGAGCCAGGTGCTGGGAAACAAAGGAATCAAGCAGCAGAGAAGAAAGTCCTTTTTCCGAGGACACTAGACAGGCTACTAAGAACATAGAAGGACTGCTTAGGGGCAATATTGGAGCTGCGGAAGGAAATATGAAGCGGCTGGAATGGTGAGAAGTGTGACAGCAAAGAATGACGCGGTTGGGTCGAGTTGTTGTGTTGGCATTGTGAATATTGTCCTTTTAAACCACAGAGCACAGAAAAAAATTAACACAGCCAAGCCTGGGTTTTATAATAAGATACTTTTCTTTATATCTTCTCAGTAACAATTGATGATTATAATTCCTCCCGGGTCCCCATCCTGTCTCTGGCTATGTCTCTTGGAAATTTCAAGATTTGAAGAGCAGCAACAAACCAAGTCTTTCAAGACATCCGGCACAAAGTGGATATGCTGCTGTCAGTATTACCAGAAAAGTCTGGAAAAGTCACATTCATCTTAATTTCACATAAGCAAAAAGTATTTTCTTTAAGCTCGGGTAAATCTAAATGTTGCATTATTACTCTAGATAATACTATACGCAAATTTGATATAAAGACGAAATTTGAAAATGAAGGGCCTAGTATCAAATAGCTAAAGGGACTAACCTAAGGACCAGATGTACAGAGGGAAGTAAATTTAGTCCCTTTGTATTGCACGTAGTGGTGACGCTCTTGATAAATTTTAAGAACCCTTCATCACATTAGAGCAGTGGCTACCAAATCTTTTTCTAGTCTCAATCCCCACATCAGGCTGCTGAATAGGTCAGTTATTTAGTCTGTAACCAGAGCCCATTAAAGAAAAATGCAAGTTTTAGTTAATTAAAACAATGAATAGGCCTGGTGCCCAGCAGTGTTTATATCACTGCCTAGGACAGATGTCTTTCTAGTTAAATAAAGTTTCTCAGAAGGCAGGTAAACTCGGGACTCAAGGCAGAAGCATGGAAGCATCGAGTCAGAAGTCAAAATCTTAATGTACGCAGATAACCTCTTCTGAGGTAGACCCTTACGATTCCACAAAGGCCTCCACAACAGCCTAGAGTTTCCTTCGCCTCTACCTGAAAACACCCATGGTATAGGAAGCTCAGAAAAACAATTCCACTCGAATCAATTGTGCCTGAAGATGTGGTACCCTCATTTCTACAGGGCATTCCAAAGTGACACACTAGACTTCTGAAGAGGAACTGAACAGAAAACTGTGTTTGGTCATGCCCATGGGCCGGTGTTCATTATCAATCCTGTCTCTTCAGACAGAGGAGAAGGTGAATGGGGGTAGAGGATAAAAGTAAACTATGACCGGTGGCTTCTCTGTATTCCATCAGGCAAAGGATCACAGACTTGACGCATGTTTGGCGGAACAAACTGAGCTTTGCAGTGCTTGGCTGCAGTGGCCTGCTTGCACTGAGTCAGAGAGGCATAGAGAAAGCACGAACCACTTGTAGGGTGGTGCAAGGCTATCATAAGGGCTGAGAGCAACAACATGGCCTACTGGGGCCACCAAACAACCTGTGCTTCATGGCCATGATGGCACTAGCCTTATAAAATGGCTTGCTTGTATCTGCCTCTATGACACATCCAAAAATTACAAAAAGATAAATAAAAAGTATAAATACTGGTTTCTGAACTTCCTCCCTTAACCCTTGAATAATCCTTTCTTGCATTCAAACTTGCTCATCCAACAAACGTTCTCAAATTTCCTGTCTACAGCCTACACTTTACTTTATATGGGCTGTTTCTGTTAATGCCTTACATTGTCCTATCTCTGGATTCTTTCTGATGGTGATGAAAACCTAGACACACTTGGAACAAGTCCTCAGTGTGCTCTTTCTAGTTTGAGACTTCAAACACTGGCAACGTGACACCAGAAGGGACAGCACTCTGGGTCATTAAGTAATTAATGTATTTGAAAAGTAAGGCTGGGAAAAGAATGGTCAATTAATGCATATGCCTTTGCACTTCCTTGCATTTCATATCAAAGCAGTGTACAGCGGTTTTCTTTTAACTTGCAGGGGATTCTGTTCATTGTGCCCCAAACTAGGGACAGTACCCGGTACTCCATATACTTTATTCTATACATATGATAAAGGTTGATTTATAAAGTATAGGGAGAGGTCAACAATGGAATAAACCAATTATAACATGTCCAGCAGTGAGAGTTATGTGAACAACTGCACATGCCAGAGAAGCTGGTATTACCCAGATGGTCCATAAAGGCTCGCCACTTTCCTGGCTCAGCCCATCAGAGCCTGTCCCTCCCCAACTGTTGACCCATTTGCACACTCAGGAGTGCTCTCTTTATTAATAAACCACCTCTATCTTTATTAGTCACCATAGGCCCCTGGCCAATTCTTTCTTTCAGGACACAAGAACCTGGAAAGCTGAGGACATTTTCTCCAGGCTCCTGTCCATTCCTACAGTGGCAAGAAGGGACATAAAATCCCACATGGCTCAAGATTGTCTTTACACAGCTTCTCTGTCCTTTGTAGTCCCCCTCAGGGAGACAGCGGTGCTGTTCCTTTTCTTCATCTTCCCCAGCCGTCATCTTCCCTTCCCCGAGGCCCATGAGGAGGGTTGGGTGAAGGTGAAGTACTTGATGCTTACCTGAAAGTAGACACGCAGCGCCTCGGCTTCTGCAGCCATCTCCTCCTCCGATCTCCAGAAGGCTGGGGAGTCCTCTTGCTCTTTGTCATGTTTCTGGAGCTTTGGAGGAAGAGAACAAAATAGGCTCATGAAAGAATCCTTGAGATCTTCTTTAATAATGTTGGGGAAAGGAGAGAGAGTGAAAATAACTTGCAAATTAGAGGCCTGTAGGTGTATCTTAATTACGCTAATTGCCCAATTTTGAAAATAAAGAGTTTCACGTAAGAATTGACATTTCTTGCTTCTCTAATAAAATCGCAAGATTCGGCTGCACTGGGGTGCCTGCTGCTTCGTGCTTGCCGGATGAGCAAGGGCCTGTGACAGACTAAGGACGCATAAAGCAGAAGGCTGCTGGGGGCAGCATCCCGCTATTCAACACCCCTTCATTTTCTTGTGCTTATCAGCACCATTTAATTATTGACATCCCTGACTGCAGTTGTCTCTGCCCATGCTCAGTCCTCCATTCTGCCTGCAGCCTACCTATCAGTCTCTCTGGCTTTAGCTGTCTTTTATGAGCCCCAAGGAGTTGGAAGCATTTGGACAGGAAGACATTCTGGGGTTAGACACTCAAGTCCCTTCCCTTTGGCTATGAGGCTACTGAAAAGAGTAGACTCTTAACAAAGTAGAATTTCACAGAAGTCTTGTGCTGGAGAAGGGAGACTGAGGTCCTGGTGTCCTGCAGGGAAGGGGCTAGCCAGACTTCACACCTGCTGCCGTGTCATAGTTGCACATGTCCTGGCTTTTCTTTCATGTTTTTAGAAAGCCGTAACTCTGTCACAAAGGAAGTAGAGAGAAACTGAGTCTTTCTTTCTGGGTCTGGCTAAACATGAACCCATTTTCCATGTGCAATTTGTTTTCTAATTTCTTTTAAGAAGTGGCAGGTTTATGAATCTAAGTGGATCTGCAACAACAGAAACTATGAGAAAACAGCATAGGAAATTAACAATGTAGTCTTAGGCAATTCAGTTCCTCTGTAGACAATTCTCTATCCATGTAGAAACATACACACACACACACACACATATATACATATATATACATAGTCACATATATTTATGTATATATTTATGTATACATATATAGACTTATGAGCAAAGATATGTTTAAAATTGCTGTATAGAGTGAACCACATATCTGTTCTATCAGAGAGCAGGTTTTTAGTAGAATTTAATCTCTCTCTTGCTCGCCTATTGTAATTCAGTTCTGTTACCAATCTGCCATTTCTGTGGCTTTGTGTGTGTGTGAGAAAGAGAGAGAGAGAGAGAGAGAGAGAGAGCGCTAAAGGTCCAGTTGCTCACAGGACACACAGTGTAGTGATCCACGCTCAGTGGTTAGATAGATGGCTGTGTACCGCTGTCAATGACGGCCAACATTTATGATTTGGAGAGCAGCTTCTCTCATGCTCATATTTTGCGCAATCCTTACAGCTTCCCACAAGACACACTACTTAACTTCATTTACTCTGAAGGAAATGGAGGCAGGGGAACTCAGGAAAATTATTTACTTGTCTAGGTATGGAATGCCGGGTGAAAGCATTGTGCCCAACCAGGTTTTTTTTTTTTTTTTTTGTCTTGGAGAATCCATACAAATGGGCAATTCCATAGTTACTGCTCTCATCTCACTGCGTATCTGCTCACTTGGAACAGGGATGCTTTGAAAAAAACCTTGGGAGTGCAGCAAGGCATGCTGACCAGGTGCCTCCATGGGTCAGGTATGAACATGAGAAGCTGCTCGCTAGAAACTGTGATAAAATGAAAGGGAGAGAATCACTGTACACATTTGTCCTGTGGCCTCCATACGCATACTGTGGCATGTAGGCCTAACCCCCACCACAGACACACACACACACACACACCCATACACACACTCACACACACACACATAACATACACACACACTACTAATAAATAAAAACGTTTAAACTAAAATAGTAATATTCATTCTCTTGGGCCCCAAACCCTTAGCCTACTCTAGAGACCTCACCCCAGCAGCCTGCAGAACACAGAGACTTTCCACATTTATCTAAGAGCAGCTTTGTTGTAGAAGACGAAATAGTACAGGAAAGACATCCTTGCTTTCCTGCAAGGCTGTATTTCCACACCGAGGAAGTCTGGGCCTAAATGAGGCTCATTAGCATAGAACGAGGCCACAAATATCTTTATGAGGGTCATGGATCTTCCTTTCAGAATTTGGCTGCCAGCACACTGGTTTTCCATTTTACCATACAGATTTAATTCTTCTTAGTGGAAGGAAAGCACATTAAGAAGTCATTTCCTTGCTGTAGAAGCAGATATGACGCAGTTGCTACAGGCAAGGCGAACGGGATTGCTATTCTACCCGAGAACTAATTTTCATTTTGCTACTACCTTTGGGTCTGTTATAAATCCATCTTGTAACAGTTTGATGGGGAAGACAAGGAGCAGTGCAAAAGCCGGAGCACGCGGCCTTCCCACCGTGGCGCTGCTGTCGGAAGACATAGCAGGCTTGTCAACACAAACCACACCAGATGATTCCAAATAATTTAGATGCTAAGAACATTAATGCTTCCTGGTTATTAGGCACCCTTCTGTTGGTGTCATATGCTTTACAGATGGCATCACTTAGACATTCTTTACAGGAACTAGGAAACCAATAGATCAAGCTAAATAAGTTTGCAAAGTTGGGATGGGCATGGCTGTGGGTAAACTTTTGAGGTTTCCTCTTGCCAGCCCCGGTTGGAAGATTTTCCCTTTTCTTTAAGACAGCTGAACTCTGGATTCCTGTTGGACTTACTAGAGAAACGATAAAAGACACAGCTTAAACTAATGACTCTGATTAAATATTTAGAGATTTTGAAAAAGAAAAAAAATCCCATAAGTATTGAAGGAAAGATGTCCGTGTGTTTAGGTAAGGGCTCTAACACGAATGGAAGTATAGCTGTCAACTTGTATCTGTGCCAGCAACTTTTCACAGAGTACCAAAATCCACAGTTTTCAAGTCTCAGATATGAAATGTATGGTATTTGCACATAACCTTTATATATCATCTGATGTGCTTCCTGTTTGTAAACTGTCTATAAACCTCAATACAACACAAATGATGTGAAAAATACTCATTCTGCTTGTGTTCAGTAGAGATGCCCTTGATTTTCTGGCATTGTTGGTCAGTGGTCGCTTGAAGCCTTAGATGACAAACCAGTCACAGACCCAGAGCTCACTGGGTCTCACTGGCTCACTCATTTTCACCTTTACACCCATTCCTTGGGCCTTTTCAACAGTGTCACATCTGTCCTTTGGTAACCCCACTGCAGCATGGTTTTCTTTCGTTTAGCATCAGTCAAAAGGGCTTCTGGGTGGTAAGACTGGTCTAAGTAACATGATGCTAACTACTCAAGGGGTTTGCAGTCTCTTCAAGAACTGGGAGGCTTCAGATAGAGAGGATGGGAGAATTCTGCTCTAGAAGAGCCATGGTGGGGACTAGGAAATTAAACTTGCCAAAGTCTGTGAAAAAATTCTGAGGTAACCCAAGAATGTGGTTGCAGTAGTCCAATGCAAGGTTAACAAAGTAGAGTTCTACCATCTTGAGTAACTGCTTTCCCAAAAGGCCAGTTTGACTCTTGTGAACCAGAGTTTGGGGAATTCATTTGTAAATGAACTTCCAGGAGACTTTAGACTACAATAAGGGAGAGGCAATGCCTAATTATCATCACACCCAATAGTCAATCTGTCCCTGAAGTGAAAGGAAACAGTGTTCTCACTTGCACTCAAAGGCAAGGAAGACAGGGAAGACAGACACTGAACGGCTGATTTCCAGTGCTGTGAGATTACCAAATGGAAGGGACCTGGGTTAGGTCAGCTTGTTACAAAGCATTAGAACCCCTAGATTTCACAAAGAAATGCTGTAATAATGAAAATAGTAATGGTGTCCAGGCAGGGTGACACACACCTTTTACCCCAACCCTTGGATGGATCTCCAGGACAGCAAGGGCTACACTGAAAGACTCTCTCTGAAGAAACAAACAAGAGAAGAGGGATGGGAGAGAGGGTGTTCCCTAAGTAGTAGTCAACAAGGGCTCCACAGGTTGATAATTACAGTCTTTATTTATTTATTTGACTATAAAAGCTACTAAATTAAGCCAAACTTTTTATTTTTAAAAATATCTTGACTTCAAAATTTAAGTCAAAATATATGTTACTTTGAGAAAGAGGTTCTGCTTTGACTTCCATGGGAAACGAAAGGCTGTGAATTCATTCTGCATTAAGAAAAAACAGGTTGATGAAGGAAGAATTCCCTGAAAAATATATGATGGGAACAGGTGGCCCAGATGATCCAACATTTCAGAGTGCCTTTGTTGCCACTTCCTCTGAGTTCTACATCTAGAACAGCTTCAAGGCTGCTGACTGACATGATCCAGTCTCACAGAATATTTCAGCCAAGACTTAACAATTATCCTGATTTTCCCAAAGACCCTCAAACATCACCAGCACCCACAAACCAACAGGAAGAAGTCTATAAAACAATAGACACATTCCCAAAATATTGATTATAAATGTTTGTTTTCATTTGAGGGTGGGATGGTTATACATTGTTATTGGTTGTAGTAAATTGTTTTCTAAAAGAAGAAAGAGGAATATGATATAGAAATGATGGAAGATTATTGAATCTATGTTAATTCAAAAAGCACATGATAATCTCAAAATATTTAACATATTACATTATACTATATATAAAATACTGTTATTTTGTTATACTGTATGTATATTCCTACTATTGTTTAAAATATTGTGTTTATACAGCTCAACTAAAAATATAATGTATAATTAAAAATACAGATTAATGGTTATCTACAGTAATCAAACATATAGTCATGTAAGTTAAGTTTTCAAGGTATACAAAGATATATTTCAAATAGATAGGTAATCTTCAAACACTTCAAAGACCTACGGAATATGGCATTTAAAATGTTTTAATAACTTAAGACTTTTCATGACAGTGAGACATGTCTGCTCCTGACAGTACAAATATACTCCAGAAAAGATGGTGGGCATCAAAGAAACTCCACAGCAAGTTTATTTTCTTTA